CGATTCGATGCCGCCGGTAACCACGCACAATGTGGCGGATGATTGGAACGATCCGGTCCTGTCGTCCATTCGTCGCTGCCATCTGTTCAACTCGCGTCACGACCGTGTCAAGATGGTCTTCCATCCGGAGTTCCTAACGTCCACCAACCCACTCTTTGGCATCGACTACGAGGAGTTCGTTCGTGGCTGCCACTTGGGTGTCTTCCCCTCGTACTACGAGCCCTGGGGATACACTCCTGCCGAGTGCACGGTGATGGGAATTCCCAGTGTGACCACCAATCTGTCCGGATTCGGTTGCTTCATGGAGGAGCACATCAGCGATCCCAAATCCTATGGCATCTACATCGTGGATCGTCGCTACATCGGACTGGAGAACAGCGTCCAGCAGCTGTCCAGCTTCATGATGGACTTCTCGCGGTTGAACCGCCGCCAGCGCATCATCCAGCGTAATCGTACGGAGCGATTGAGCGACCTGCTCGACTGGCGCACCCTGGGCATTGTTAGTATTTTACGGGCTCGTTCCGTTACTCATATGTTTTTCATGTTAACGAAAGCTCTATTAATTTATATATATATTACACTAACCTTACTATATATATTCGCTTTTGCAGTACTACAGACAGGCCAGGGTTAAGGCCTTGCAGGCTGTTTACCCCGACTACGTGGATGAGTTGACTCTCTACGGATCGCGCAACAATTTGATCTTCTCGCGGCCGCACAGCGAACCGCCCAGCCCAACTTCGTCGCGTAAGTGGGAGGATGAAGAGTGTGATCGCAAAAAAAATTTGAATATTCTAAATTATACTCCAAACTTTTCATTGTTTATGCATTTCGAATTATGTTGTTGTCGAATCTTGACAAGTTTTTAATTGTTGACTATTTTGGTACACTTTTAAATAAAATAGCTGTTGGACATTCCACTTTTACTTTACTTTCACCTATCTCTGCCTAGTCATCACTCTTTTTCATAAATTTTCAACAGCTGCTTAGAACTATGAATTTGTATTTATTTAGTTTCAATGTCAAATAAAATATACCTCTTCAAAAAAAAGGGCTAAAAGTAAGCAGTGAATTATTTGAAATTGATAATCGAGTGTGCAATATATGCAATTTTATTATTTATACTGATAAGAACCTAAAAAAATCATTGAATACTTTTAGACAACTAAAATAATGCAATTATATACCTGAACAATCTAAACTCATCGATTTAAAGAATGTTTATTTAATAAGCGTTCACTCTTTTGTTATTATAAGACCTATAATGACATGATCTAACCAAATTTATCCCATTAGGTCACACCACACCAGCTCCATCGGTACACGGCTCGGATGATGAGGACTCCGTGGATGAGGAAACCGAACTCAAGGAATTGGGCATCAAGTAGAGCCTCACGCCGAACTGAACGCCTTTAAAATTGTAGCGGACAAACCAACTAAAATCAACACACGCGCAATATTACCATAAGTTCTATTAGTCTTGTTCCACTATTGTTCATCGAGAAACGTGTTTGTTGGGGGTCAGAGCAGACGATCGAGACCCCCGCACAGAAGCCTACGAAACTATCTACCTGCAGCTGAAATGCCAGAACAAATGTTTTCACATCAAATCAAATTATTAACATTATGTATGCCCAGATCGCAAGCGTAAGCATTCGAGCAGGACGAATCCAGATTTTATTAAACGTTGTTTAGTCTATAAGGAGATTGAGGTCTGCCCGCCCTTTCACCCTGCTCCATACCCTGCCTATCAAATAAATCGTTATTTAAAGTACACTCATTTGACCTGGATCTTTACTGCACATGCACCTAAGCTGATAAGTTATCGGGATCATAAAAATAATTTTATTTTTAGTTCTCAGCAAACATTTTATTATTGCGGCTGCAGAAATATGTTTTTACCCTATATACATTGTTAGGCAGGCATAAAAAGTTGAGCTTTCAATCGAAACTGTGAAGTCAAAAGCGTTTATAATTTGAAATTGCTTTTCTGTCGTCTAAGCGAAGTGCACAATAGTTAAATGGAGATCAGATTTTAAAAAACGTTTAAACTTTTAAATCCAATTAGAGGTTCTGAGCTCGTAAAATAGTTTTGAGAAATAGAAAATAAATATGTAAGAAAGGTCTAAGAACATTTAAAAACAAGGTTGTCAAACTTTATTAGAAAATCTTTATACACAAATGGCGAGTTTAAAAGTGTTCGGTTTAGTCTAGGTTTTGTTTTGTCAAAATACTATTATATATAGAGTCAAAAATTTTCGTTAAAAATCTCAAGAGCTGTTCATTACAAATGGCTTGTAAAATTAATTGCCTCGATTGCGTTTGCTGTAAGCAGAGCGCACAAAGGTTCGGCGGTTTTGTCGCCGACGTCTTCTTCGCTGGTCTCCATAGTCGTAGTCCTCCGAATCCCGCCCATCCTCAGATTGCTGTTTCTGATGGGCAGCAGGTGCCTGTTGCGCATCCTCAATAGTTTTGTTGTCTAGGCAATTCTCAATGTTATCATCGTCACATAAAATCCAGCCACCATTTCCCGAGCCAGCAAGGATGTCGTCTTCATTCTCATGTCTTTTGTTATTTCCATTTTTATTTGCATTATTATTTCCGTTATTATTTCCATGATTATTATTGACAGGGAAGTTGCCGAAGGATGGATATGGCACATATGGACTGTACATGTAGGGAGCATTGTACATAGGCATAAGGGGCGCTCCAAATCCCTGGAAACAACCTGCACACTGGGCGGGCAGGCCACTTTGCAGGATATACCCGTAGGGCATATTGAGGCACTGCTGGCAAGTGGAGCGTTTCACTCGCGCCGGCTGAACGACATCCACATTTTGGCCCTGATTCTGGCCACATGAGAAGTAGGGCCAAGTGTTGCCAAAGTAGTGACACGGCGCTCTTTGGCTGGACTTCTTCGAGTGGGATCTCCTCCGCCGGGGCACATATTCGATGGTCTCGTGGCATTTGTCGCTATCTTCGGCATCGCATTGGACCACTCTTTTGGCCAACATCACTCTGGCCTGACACCTTTCACCACAAACCCGTTGGCGGCTTTTCTCCCTGCAACCGTGGCCACCATCGTGCTCACACTCTCGATCCAAGAGCACCACATGGCAACAGGATCCCTGGTCACTGTAGCCCAATCCGAAACGTCCTCCCACCTGGGACACATTCTGCTCCACCTGGACATTGACCTCGTTTCGATTCTGGATTTGGTGCTCGATGATATTGTTGATCTCGTTGGTCAGCCGAATAATGTTGGTGGTATTAAGCGGGACTTGTGGTGGTGCCACCACATCCGTATCGTTGATGCCCTGAACCATCAGCGGCTTGTCGTACAATTGCGGGCACACGGGACACTCATCTTCGCAGGACTGTTTGCCATCGCAAACAGATATACAATTGTCCCTGTTCGCCTGACATTCCTCGTAGTCCCGCAGAGTGGGCTGATCGTAGTTCTGGAGCGGAGTTTGCACCACAATCGTGTTACTTTTCAACTGATCCTCGGCAGTGGACACTGCGCTGAAGGTCAGCAGGTGGAGGAGCCCAACCACCGTGCACAGTAGCATCTGCAATAATAATTTGAAAAAAACATTATAGCTTATGGAATCATATAGTATCGATTGAATCAAAAATTTGGATTTAGTTTTTATTGAAGGGTATGGCTAAGCGCATGAAAAATATATAATTTGATCGCTGATTTTTATGTTTTTAGTGTGTATATAATTTATTTTTTAACCCCCTTCTAAGATAAGATTAGATTTCAAACCTTTTTTAAACATCTCGTCACTTTCTTCAAAACAGAATGCAAAACAAATAAATCAAATTAAAGTGTGAGTCAACAAGACTTTATAAAAACCAATTTGAAAGAATTGATATTTGATACATTAAACGTTTCTTATCAGGTTGTCCAATTAGTTTTTTTTTACTCTATTTAAAGACTACTTTACGGTGCCAAGTTTCAATAGTTTGTGATGTTTATCATTAATATAAATAGGCCCATGAAATTCACTACCATCTGACAATCAAGTAAATTTCGTAACGATCGTTTGATAACAAAAGTGCGAAAAAAGCAATGTGCCTTGAAATTTATTTGGCAGCGGTTTTGTCACTATCGCTGCCATTGCTGGCTTCTTGAACGCATTCCAATAAACATTAAAACAGCACCGAATTCCCGGACTTTGGTGATCCCGGTAGTTTATTACTCACCTTGGAATGCGGCATTATCGAGTGTTTGGCGGTTTCTTCGGTTTGCTTCGATTTAATGTTACGTCCGCTGGTGCGAAAAGTGGAGTCTCAACTGCAGTGGTTGAGTGGTGGGCTATCCCCCACCTACCCTTGAAGATAAGGTTAGATAACACTATCAAAGAATTGATTACTGGCGGAGCTTTCACTCAATTGCCAGTCGAAGCACTAGGAGTTCCACGGTTGAACATGCTGCACAATTCACAATTCACATGCGAACGATTATCATCACCTTAATTTAGGACTGGTTAGCATATAATTCATTTAAAAACATTTATATAATTGCCTACATCCGCTTCCAAAAGTTCAAGCTCAAGATTTTATTGCTATGGCGTTCGGAATGTTCGAATATGACGCAGTATATATATATATATTATAAAAATCTTTGCCCTGTGACGTCAAGTTATTAAAGTAAATGAACTTATAGATACGTATAATACCAAAAAAAAAGGTAAACAGCTAACAGGGAACCTGAGGAGCTCAAAGAATCAACTAGACTGACATATTATCTATGGTTAAATTCCTATTATTTTAATTTTTGTATTTCTCCATACTGACAAATTGTTTTATATTTTAATTAAGAGTGGTAAGAAATAAAAGCTTGGCATAAACGAGTGCATAACCTAGTTTGAACGGCTATCGTTCAGTTTTTATTGCCCATAGTATGACTAATAGACTGTTCTAATCATTTCAGCAGAAGAATAAAAACTGTGAGCGTCCAAGTGTTTAATAAAAAAAAACCAGCTACTTTCAACATTTGTAACATTGTGTTTATTACAATCAATTTCCTTCCAACATTAAAAAAATTTGATATTCTTGAATTGATTGAGTAGCCATTATGGGGCCGGGAACCACCCATCTTCAGATCGGCAGCCCATTTGACCAGGATACTGGGAGCAGTATTGAGTCTGGTCGTAATAGACGCAGTTGTGGCTGCTGCACTTGTAGGAATAGCAGTACGAGGAGCAGGTCGAAAAGTCACCCATCGCACAGCCGCTGCAGTCGTAGTAGTCTTTGGGCGAAAAAACACACACAGAAAGTTTGATATATATATATGAGTATAGTTAGTATGCTTTAATACTTAAGCTCAAAGTTGTTAAGCTCCAAAGAAAGAAAAAAATCAAACTGTCTTAATATCAATATAAAAAGTTTAAATTAATTATAAAATAATACATTAACTGGGTGGAAAACACTTAAGCTTTAAATTTAAAAAACAATTGTACCAAATTTTGGATTAATTTTGTTTGATAAAATTAACGTTTTTTAATTGCCAAACTTAAAAAAAAAGAAATAAAGAATAAAGATTCCAGAACACTTATCAATACATCAAGTAAACAAAATATTTTAAATTAAACGCTAAATAAACTTGAGTTCCGAAAATCGGGCTAAAATTGTTATGTTTCGTTTTTAGAAGTGGTATTAAAATTAAAAGCAAAATGATTACTTACACTAAGATTTAAAAAAATGATGAGGGAAAACTGGATAACTTTTAAGTAAAGTAATCATGCTCGATTAAATATTGCAAAGCGTTTCTGGCCAGTTGCTTCATTATGTATGATTTATTTGTGTAGAAAACTTACTCTGAGCCTGCTGGCAATTTCCACCGGTGGACTGGCATCCTTGACCCGCCCAGTTGGGCGGCAGCACCATCATCTGGGTGTTGGCCTGCGTCCAAGTGGTCACTGTTGGCGGTGCGAGCACCACCTTGTTGGCACTGCAGAAGGAGCCGCACTGCTGCTGACTCCTGCTGAAGCACTTGTATGCGACCTGATCCGCCTGGATGGTGCAAATCCGGGGAGCCACCACATTACAGCAGGGTCCTGAAGGTGGCTGCGGCATCACCGGTTCCTCCTCCTCTTCCTCCTCCTCCTCTTGCTGCTCCGCGGAGGTTTGTCCTTGGATTGCGATGGAGGCGTTGACCTTTACATTGTTCACGTTGTTGGTGACCAGGTGGGGTAGAGCGCCAGCCTGCTGATGGACATTGCTCTCTATGTGGATGTTGCCAATCTCCACGGGCTGGGGCTTCGAGCACCTGATCCCCGTCCAAACATATCCCGCGGGGCAGCGTGCCTGAATGCAGCGTCCTTCGGCATTTATTCCGTATCCTCCGCAGAAAAGAAGGCGGCAGACGCCCCTAACCAGGATCGTTCCTTCCCGACACCGGGTAATAGTAGCCGGTGGTGGAGTGGTTACTGGGACTGGGTAGGGTTGTTGTGTTGTCTGTGGTGCTGGTGGTGCGGGTGGTGGATAGGGCATGGGAGTTGGGTAAAGAGTGGGAGGGGAGGGAGTAATAGTTGGCGGAGGAGTCGGACAAGGACTATTGGGACAATTGGTGGGACAACTGTTAGGACATTGTGTGGATTGATTGCAGTTATTCGAACATGTTGTTGGACAAGACGGTGGACAGACAGTGGGCTGAACAGGAGCAGTGGGTACCACAGTGGGATCTAAAGGAGCATTAGGACAAGCAGGAGTTCCAGGAACAACGACTGGAGGACTAGGTACCACAGTGGGATCTAAGGGAGCATTCGGACAAGTAGGAGTTCCAGGAACAATGACTGGAGGACTAGGTACCACAGTGGGATCTAAGGGAGCATTCGGACAAGCAGGAGTTCCAGGAACAATGACTGGAGGACTAGGTACCACAGTGGGATCTAAGGGAGCATTCGGACAAGCAGGAGTGCCAGGAACAACGACTGGACTTCCAGGAACAACAATTGGAACACTTGGTACCACAGTAGGATCTAAAGGAGCATTGGGACAAGCAGGAGTTCCAGGAACAACAATTGGAACACTTGGTACCACAATGGGACTAAGAGGAGCATTCGGACAAACAGGAGTGCCAGGAACAACAAATGAAGTACCAGGTTGACAGGGAATCCCCGTTTGACCACCGCAACCAGCATTAAACACATTTATAATGACTTGGCCGCAAGCGCCATTGATGTAAGTCTGACCTGAGGATTTAGAAACAGCCATTTTCGATCGAGAAACAGAACAGAGAGCTTCAACTAAAACTTACCACTCTGGCAGGGATTGGGTATGGGTATGGAATTGGCGATAACCTCAGCGGGGATTAGTCCAAGGCAGATTAGCAGCAGCAGCATCAGCTGCTGTAGCACCCAGGAACGCTCTTTCCGATCAGACATGCCGCTTCGAACTAAGCTCGGCCCGCACCGTTTGCGGATCAGGAACAGCTGAGGCTGTGGCACAGCCGACCTTCGACGTTAACCTTCGAGGTTATCGCGGCGCCAGCAATTATGCGGCCCATTCAGAATCATCGCAATCCCAGTGAGCTCATCGCCGAATCAAATCGGATTCGATTAGTCTCTCTTTAAGTGCGAACAGCCGCGCATCGCCAATCTCTGTCCCAGATTCCGCAGATCTCGATCCGGAAGTCAATCGGTATGCTTTCGAAATCACTTGGATCGCCTCTGCTCGGCTGCCTGATCATCATCAGTGCAATCTGTGGCATCGCTCAATCGAATATCGTGGTAACGAAAAGTGATTAATTAGTTATTGATTAGGAGTTAACTGTTCTCATCGTCCCCACAGCAGTCCCCCTGTCCAATGGGCTATCAATATGTCAACGACAAGTGCTTTAGCTTCTGTTCCGAGGGTAAGATCTCTCCCTAAAAATAATTTTAATGTTAATTTTTTGTATCAGCAATAAGTAAAAACAATCAATGGCTTCATACAATGTTTTTAAATAGTTTACAAAACAAACAATGTCTTCTATATTTTTAGCCCTTGTCAAGCACATGCTTTTTTGTAGATGATTAAAGTTCTATTTATATGTGATGCTGCTCATTATCAGCAAGGTCCAACATTCAAATTATTTATATGCTCAAGTAATGATTTTAACTTTTCAACCGATTAATATTTGTGATATTTCTTGAACTATACAAATAACAATTACGTTGCTGACCAGTTCAAATAGTTTTACAAATATAGTGTCTTTTATACTGACCTTTTTCTAATGTCTTTATATTAGGCCAGTACTTACACATAGATGGAAAATGCTACCCACAGACTACGTATAGGTGTAGACCAGGTAAGGATTCGTCTTATTTAATTGTGATAATAGGTTTCAATTAATCAGTATCATATTTTCCATTTATTTTTAGGGTATTTTCTTAACACTGATGGAAAGTGCTATCGCACAAATCCTGAACCCTGTCCTTTTGAGTCCACAACCACTACAACAACAGAACCCACTACTACAACTACAGAACCCGCTACTACAACAACAGAACCCACTACTACAACAACAGAACCCACTACTACAACAACAGAACCCACTACTACAACAACAGAACCCACTACTACAACAACAGAACCCACTACTACAACAACCACCACAACAACAACTGAACCCACTACGACAACAACAGAACCCACTGCTACAACAACCACCACAACAACAACAGAGCCTACAACTACAACCACCACAACAACAACTGAACCTACCACAATAACAACAACAACAACTACTGAGCCACCTATAGTTGATCCTCCCATTCTTGGCGAACTGACTCGCTGTCCGCCGGGCTCGATTTACTTCGACTCACAATGCCGGAAAATCGTCTGTACGGAAGGCGAATACTACGCTGGACGCTGCATTTTCTCCGCCTGTCCGCCGGGAACTGTTTGGTTTGGTAAACGTTGCCAGGAACCAGGATATATCACCACTATCCTGGAGATTGGCAATGAGATCCACAATGAGCACAGATACACGGTGACCAGCGAAAACATAAATCGGGTGGAGTACATTACAGCCGCACCTTACGATCCGGATAAGGACAATACCTACGACTTTAGTACACCCATAAGTGTTCCAGATAATAGTGTATACCCAACAACAACAAAAACATCAACAACAACAAGGCGTCCCTGGATATATACCAGCATTAGGCCAACCACGGAGCAGTCGGTGGTGATTGAACCCTTTCCGGGACGAACTCCCAAGCCGGGTTGCTGTTTCGTGAAGAGTCCCCGCATCTGCGTCAACTATGCCCCCAACTGGGTGTGCTCCACCAAGGAGAAGAAGTTCTGCGATCCCAGGGTCTGTACGGCGCCAGTAGTTTATCTCAAGCCGCCGCAGATAGTCCATGGTGAAAACCCAAAGCGGGTGATAATGCCACCCAATCCGCCGCTCCTGGCCTGCAGTACGCCAGAGTGCATGGAGAGCGGTGAGTTTGATTACATTGTTATTTAAATATTTGCTTACAATTTTAACAATTTCAACCAGAGAAAAAACATGGCTCACAATATATATTTACTATAAATTCAAATTTTTGTTTAATCCCGCAGAGGTTTTGGATTGTTCCGGCTGCAAGGATAATCGGCGGGAAAAGTGCTCGCAAGGGTGCTACAGCTACTATTGCCCCAATGGATCTTGCGCATTTATGAACACCGAGAACTTTTGCGCCATATATCCGGGTGAATTTGGGTGTAATGCGAAAGATGGATGTATATGGGACTGGTGCAATAAGAAGTGCTACTAACTCAAGCTCTGTCGTTTGTTAATCTTTAAATCTTAAATAAATCAAGTAAACATTTATTTTACTGCTTTAAGTATTTATGGCTTAATTTAAATTAAAAGAAATCACCCTGGGAAAAGAGTAATAATTTGAATTCAAATTAAGCAACATCTTAAAATATCGATAAATAGTGGAAACACACTCCCAATTGGATTTAGCAAAGACATAGCTCCTACTTGGTTGCGCCACCTTTAGCTCCACCGCACTCTCTCTTGTTTCGCTCTCTCACTAAAGCAGGTATGCTATTCCGATGAATCGATAACAAGTGGGAACTTTGGGGACAGCTGTTGTCGCGTATCTCATTTTGTTTTTGCATCGCGAGCGGGTCGGTCGTCGAATCGGATTCGAATCGGAGTCGGAATAGCGGGTTACCGGAGAGCGGGCGCCTTTCTGTGTGCTTTTGAAAAAAGTTTGTTTGAAAAAATAGTAAAGAAAACGGCGCCGCTAAGTGTGCGCGAGTGTGAGTGTGCCCCTGTGTTTTCGTGTGTTTGCAAATACAAAAGAAGCAGCCCCCAAGCAAAAACAACAACAAAGTGTCGGCTTTGGCGGTGGCAGCGCAGTAGCAGCGACGCAGCAGCGCAGCGGCAGCGACGTCCAGTGCATTTTGGTGCAAACTAGTTGTTGTTGTGAGAGGTACGATATATATCTATGTGTGTGAGTTAAGTGGGTGGGAGTTATTTGCTTATTTTGTTGTGGTTTTGTCATGTTTTCATCATGTAACAAAAGCCAAATAGCAGACATTTGGGAAACAATTATTTAATAAATAAAATTATTTGTGATAACATATTTTCAAATTGTCAACGAATAAATAAAATATAACATAAACTACATAGAATAAAACAAATGACAAAGAAAACTCAAATCAAAAAAATAATCATTTTAAACAAAAAAATAAAATAAAGTAATCAAATGACAGAAGCAAAATAAAAAAAAAACACAGAAAATAAACAAAATGGCAAAAGCAAAATAAAAGAAAAATCATTTTTAATAAACCGCAAAGGGCTGTTGTATAAGCATTTGTTTACATAGTGCAAATACCCATAAATTGTAGAATATTCCCCCAGCAGAGAAGTGTTCTGACTCTCCATCCCCCTCCCGCTTTTTCTCGCTGTCGCTTGTGTTAATTGAAAAAAAAATCAACAAACTTCCTGTTTTTTTTGTGCCTCCCTCTCCTTTCCGCACTTTTCATAACTGTTGCCGCAGACAACAAGAGTATTATTGTGGCAGTACCGTCCCGCCACCTTTCTCCACCCGCCCAAAAACTCTCTCTCTGAAAAGGGAAGCGAGTGTGTGTGTGTGTTGGCAAGAAAGTTTTGTATTTGCTTTTGTGATTTCTGCTTGCTGTTTGATATTTGCCAGAAGTGCGGGCGTTGAAGTTTTTAGTGCAACATTTCTCTGCTCCAGCGGGAGCTTTTATAATGTGTGTGTGCGCTATTATTAAAACCCCCAACTCTCACACATACATCTATGTATGTGCATGGGGCAAAAAACTATGGCCGTGTGTATGTGTGCGAGGCGTTGGCGTTCTGACCAGAAGAAGAGGAAGATAAAGCAGCGGTAAAGGGTGAAGAGAAAAGGAGAGAAGGGAAGAGAGTGGGGGAGAATGAGAGTGGGAAAAGGATACTTGGTAAATAATTCAGATATAACATAATGAATAACCATACGGGAAATCAAGTAAATCAAGGGAACGAATTAGAATAAATAGATACAGAACATATATTTAAAGGCATAATAATAATAAAAGCATAAATTAATAGAACGCCATTTTGCCAATTAATTTTTTATAGGGAACTTTATCATCTTCCACTATTCTTTCAAAATGTATTTAATAGTAGCCACTAGTAACAAAAACAGCAATTTCCTATGCACCCACGCAATTTCTTAGATTTAAAAAATAAAATGGTCCTACATATGTTTAACATCGAATAATAAAACAAGAAATCAAAATAAGGAAAGACATGAAGCTGAAATTACAATAAAGACGTTTTATTGAGGGCAAAAACCAGAAAAAGAATTTCTGTTTTTATAACCTTGTTTTTAGAATATAAAATTAGGATGAACATTTTTATCCCTAACCAATTGCACGCAATTGCATGCGTATATAAACTATCAGGATATTGTTTTTTTAAATAATACATTCATAATAAAATTAGTAGAAAAGCACGAAACGGTTTTAGTATATTGATGAGTTAAGATAATTTGGCCCTTAAGCAAATATTTAAATTTGTTTTTGCAATTTCAGGTTATAGTAGCTTAAATACTAAATAATAAGACAAATTTCAAATGATGTGTAGTGCCTTAGGGCTAATTAACCTTAGATATATTCGAGTTTCTGTAGGCCAGTACATAAATAAATCCAATGAATCGGGTAAAACATAAAAGATAAACATTATGGAAATCAACACACAGCGCCTAAGGAATTTCTGTTCAAATGGGAATTTCGAGTGTTTACCTTTCGCCAACTCTCCGCCCACCACCTCCTCTTCCTCCCATTTGTGAGACATAAACGCCGCCGCATATTTACCGTACGTAAGCCCCCCTTTTGAGGGGCTTGTAATAAAGCGTTTTACGATCTCCGCTGCCTGACGCACTTGTTGTTTTTATGACAGTTAAGCTATTTTGCGTATGACACGTTTGACAGATGCCAAGCGCCCAATGCGTCTGTCAACGATGCTGTTAAACGCATGCCATCTTGCTCCCTCCTTTCTCCCGGCCTTGTCCTCACCCTTTCTATTACTCTTTCACCCACCCACCCACAGTAGGCGGGCCAAATTTAATATTGAACTTAATTAGCAATTTATATGGTGGCGTTTTACTTAATTTCAGTAAGAGCAATATATTCTATCAAACACAACGGAATAATGGTGCCTTCCAACACTGATTTATTTCACAAATATGAAACATGTGGTTTTATTTATGACATATATAAAATGTATTTAAAATAATATGTATACGTTTACTTATTTAATTGTTCTCATCTAAGATTAGAACATTTTTTGAAGGAACCATTTTTTTTTTTGGATTTGGAGATTTGAAGAGTTGGTCGCACCTAAAAATATTATTTCAATTTGTGGTCAAAAATCCTCACCCCTTTGGTGGTTGAATGTTTGTGTGTGTTTGCTGTCAGGCATTTTAATTTCAGCAACCATTAGTAATGCGAAGAATGGGCGGGGGTGGGCGTGAACAGTGGGCTGTCTTTTCGCAGCTACTTTTACGCATTTTTTCGCGCAGAGGCCCAAAAAGAAGTCGGCTTGACATAAATTGTCTCGGCCAAATGTGGCGAACTACGACAGCAGCTACAGAAACAACAATAAACTGGGCCACGCCTACAAAAACCATAAGCTACAAACATCAAATATCAACAGCAGCAACATCAGCTAAAACAACAACAAACAACTGCCGCTTGGCTTGTCGCATGTAATTGCTTGCCGCAAAGTAAATGACAATAGCGCAAGGCAAAAGACACCGTCATCGGGAGCAGTGGGCCAAAAGTGATACCATTTTTTTTGCCCAGCAATTAAGAATTGATAGCAATTGAAGGGTGAGAATTGATACAATTTTTAATTTCCAACAATTAAGAATTAATAACAGATTGTTATCGGAATTTGTGATTTGTTTAAGACAGCCATAGTTGTTCAAGTCAAAGTTAATTTAAGTAGCGCTTATTGTTATATATCAATGCTTAATTTTTTAATAAATCTAGCTCACAAGAAACATTATTCAGCAATTTCTGTCGTACTCATTTTTTAGGTATTATACAAGAACGCTCAAATTCTTTGTAAGAGACCAATATATTTTGTTAAATTTAAAAAAATAATGTGCATAAATTCCGTGTTTTGTCGTTAAATGTTATTTTTAAAATGTATAAGCTTGTGTTTTTATAATTTGTTTCGTATTTTTTAATGTTATTTAAAAACTGATAAGCTGGTGTTTATTTTATATAGCTTATGTCTTTATTTGGTTGGGTTTAAATATATTAATAACATGTTCAATTCGTTAAAAGTATGTATTTTTTTTAGGCTTTTAATTCTTAATACTTTTTTTGTAACTTTTTTAAGTTTATGGTTTTAGTTTTTTGATTTGGCAGATACGTTTTTCTGGGGCCTTGGCGCTAATTTAACCCACTGTGCCGGCAAACAAGCTGAGGTCGGTGTAACTAAAAACCGCAAAAGCTTGTCACTCCCCCTTCCGCCCCACACACCCCCCACACCCCGCCAAGTCCCCTTGCTCGCACACACTTCTATGCTGTCGAAGTTGTTGCTTCCGCTCTCGCGGTTTCGTCGCTCTCGCCGCTTGGATGTGTGTGTAAAAGTATCTTTCGCTGTTGTATCTTTTTGCTGTTGTATCTTTAGCTGTTGTTGTTGCCGCCGTACGTGGGCGGCAAAGGCATTAGAAAAATAAACCTCAAGCCTCGAGTTCCAATTCAAGCTTTAAAATATTTGCCGGATGACGTCGGCGGCCAATCTTTTGTTGTCGTCAATCAAATTTGAAATTTCTTTGACGTTCTATGGTTGCATGCGCTTGGCTTTGAGTTTCCACTTGGATTTCGAATAAACAACTGCAAAAAACGAACACAAAAAAAAAAAAAAAACTGATAAGGCAAGCAAACATTTAAACACTAGCTGCCATTTGCGTATCGAATATCGTTTTTGTTTATTCTCGTCCCATTATTACTTGTATTTATTTGACTCTTTTTTGGTCAAAGCTTTTGGCCATTTAATATTCATTTATTCAGCCATGTTTATTTATTTACTTGCGTGTCTCTCGGTCAGACTGTTTGTGATTGTATTTCTGTTTGTGTGTGGCTAAAAGACCGAAAGACGTGAAAAAAATAACGAAAAACGTGAAATCGCATGCTAGGAGCCATGGCCATGATTTTGAATTTCAGCAGGCAAGAGTCGCGGCAAAGAAATCCGAAATAAAATCCAAATAATATATAATCGTAAAAACACTTGGCATCCATCCATTCGATACCCTTGTGTAGGGTCATCGATTACTTTGATTTGTTATTTCTGAAGTT